CCTGGCGGAGGGCGGGGAGGAGGGCGGGGGGGAGGGCGGGGCGGAAGGGAGGCGGAAGGGAGGCAAAGAGTACGACCGACGGGGACGGGCCCGGCCCTTGGGAAGGGAGGGAAGAGGGGAGAGGGTCCTGGAGCCGTTGGGGGTGGAAATTCGGGATTATTTTGCTGACAAAAAGGAAGCAGTGCTGGAGGTAACGGTGCGAACTACCAAGAGCGAGGAGCTTCGTCAGGCCCTCCGGCAGGTCGGCCACCCCGTCAAGAGCCTGACGCGCACGGAATATGGGCCCATTGTCCTCCGGGACGTGCGGGCGGGGGAGGTGAAGCGGCTGTCCATCGCCGAAAAGTCCAGGCTTGAAGCTTCTTTAACGGCCGTGCGAAAGCGGACGGCGAGGAGGAAGAGGAAAGCTTTGGGACCGGGGGAAGGGAGGGGGAAGGAGAAAGGGCAGGGGCGGAGGAAGAGTGGGCAAGGAGGGCGGGAGCGGGAGGAAGGGAGGGAGGGCGTGGATGCGGAGATAGAAGCCTTTTGGGACGCCGTAGAGGAGGAGGAGGACAAGGAGGAGGATGGGGTGTGGTGGGGGGAGGAAGAGGAGTAGGGAAAGGAGAGGCAGATAGGGCATGTGTACATGACGCAACGTGAACGAAAGCATTTCTATACCAAAATGTTAGGGTGGCCTGGAGGTGGTGTGTTCCATTGAGTTGTTCCTTTCGCGCAATTTTTGCATGCCGGGAATGGACGCAACGACAGGGACGCCCTCCCCCTCCCCAGCCGCCCTCCCCCTCTTTCCCCCCCTCGCCGTGGCCCATTCCAATCTCCTACTCCTCGTCGACTTCCTTTGTAGCGCTCTGCATCATGTGGGGTGGCGATGGGATCCCTCAGGGTCGGAGTCGCGCCATGTGCTCGGGCCAGCCGATGTCGCGCTGGGCCGCTCCAGTCTCCACCACCTTATTCGTCTTCCTTCCCCGCCGCGCCCGCATGCCGGCCCCGCGGCAAAGACCACGGACAAGTTCTTAGAATTTGCCCTGTGCGCGACGGGCGTTTTGGATGACCGAGTCGGCCAGGGAGAGGGAGGACGCGAGGGAAGCAGCCAGGCTCGGCGTGCCCACGCTCCCTCCCCCCGGCGGGTCAAGACAGTGGGAAACCTTTGTTGACGTCAGCCTTCTCGAAGCTTTCTCATCACTTGTAAGCCGACTGGGTGGCCGTCGGCTTTCCCCTGTACCCTTGCCTCGGCTCATACACGACGAAGGCGCTATTGACTCCCTCCCATACTGGCTGGGACAAGAGGGAAGACTGCTCCGTGCACGGCGCCCCTGTCTAGGCCCTCTCTGTCCAAGAGTCTTCCCCCATAAAGCCTTTTCCGAGGCGCGGAGCCGGCTCAGCGAGTGGGCGGAGATGCGGTTTCCTCCCAGGGGCTCCACATCCTCCCTCCTCCCTTTCCCTTCCTCCACCCCTGCCTTACTTCCCTTCCCGCCACATCGCATCCCTAGACCACCTTCCACGTACGCCGGCCAGGCCTGAGCGAACGCCTCGATCCCTCCGGACAGCACGAAGACGTTCTCCCATCCCCGTTCGACCAGCTGGGCGGCCAGGGACGCGGCCTGCCCCATCTTCTCATCGTCGTCGTAGAAAATGATCAGGGTCCCGACCCGGTTTCGGTAGCGCCTGAGCTCGGGCGAATATTTCTCTTGGTGTAAATGGGCCAGAGGAAAAGGCCGGGCGTGGACAATGCGCCGTTTGGAATGATCCTGGTCTCCATCGCGAACGTCGAGGATTAAAAATGGCTTGTCGTACACTGCCTCGTCTGCACTTTCGTGCGTCACTATCAGAGGACCCTCCTTTTTTTCATCATCTGGTCCTTCATACCCAAAACCTTCCGATTCTGCATTCAAATTATCAGAATATCCCGCTAACAATGCCTGTAATTGGCGCGGACTAACGCGATAAAACTTCTCCTGACGACGTCTCACGTATTGCTGCAATGTCACAGTTTTCAATTTATTCACCGTCATCCCAGAATTTATTTTACTTCCCACGTGGTTATATTGTTTTTGAGCTCGTGATAGAATCGGCGGCAAAGGTGGAGACTTACTGCTGATACTCGAGGCACAAGAAGAGAGAGTAGCACGCATGGTAATGTGGACATGCTGCATGCCACCTCTGTCCCTGAAAATGTTTAGCATTATAAAGTTTTAGAGTTGTCATGATGATAGTGGAATGACAGGTCGTTGCCATTGAAAAAGCCATTTTTCTCGAGTCCAAAATGCTCCTGAGCCTTGGATGAAGAGGCTTTTTGCTCTACTTTCGCGGAGGGCTTTGGCCCCTTATGAAGAGATCATGCAGGAAGAAATAGTGTCTTGATTGAAAAGACACACACAAATATGGCGGTGCAAGAGCGATCTGGTCAGGGTCTCGCGCGTGGGTGGGAGCGAAAGGTACACTTTACAGGGGTCACGGCCTCGGTAATATGGAAACCGGGCCTCGGGAGAAAAGAAAAAAATGGAATA